AAACAAAATTGAACCCAATCCAAAGATTTATCCCCCTGCTTTGCCACGAGGGGCTGCCTGGGGCAGCGAGTGGAGCCTGGTGTGACTGTGAAAACACAGACTCTGTTTCAACACCAGCCTGGAAACAATCATAAGTAAAGTGACTTGCTGCGCTTCGGTTCCCACTTGGTACTAGAAGGGTGGGGAAAGATGCTTGTTTCCACTGTAAATTGTTGTAATCTCTCCTGTTGAAAAGTGCTTGTATGAAGTTTGTTTTATTATTAAGCTGGGCCAATCATGTTACTTGTATTTCTGTCTTTGCTATAGAATATTCACTCTGAAGGGTTAACCTCGAGTGTAAATCTAAATCTGCGACTGTAGTAAGCCAAGGGTGTTTGCCGATGACGGTTGTACTGATAGAAATAACCTTGAGGTCTTTGCCACGTCTTGTAATTTAGGAATGAGGACACGGATCCCACTGAGCTTTTTGTGTAAGTGGTTAATGTCATATACGAATGAAAAGATAGCTCATGGAAGAGGGAGAGCAAGCATTCAAACATTTGTCTGTTTTTCTGGCAGGATGGAGAAAAAGAAAATTCTAATGAAATCCAAGGTTGCTGCTTCTAACCTCCTGAGGGCCCTGCATTCCCTGTACCAGTTCGGTCACCTCTGTGATGTGACAGTTCACACACAACATCTCGGAATTCAGGAGGAGTTTCTGGTTCACAAAGCTGTCTTGGCAGCTTCTAGCAATTATTTCAAGGGCCTTTTCCTGCATGATGAGATGCTGGACACCAAGAATTGCACAGTGACTCTGCAAGACATTTACACTGAAGAGTTCACCTCTTTCCTTGAGTTCGTTTACACTGCAGAAGTGGAAATTGAAGCAGAAAAACTGCAACGGATGAAAGAAATAGCTGAAAGACTCGAATGCAAGGATTTGCTTGACATTTGTGAAGAAGTAAAAGCAGAGGGCAGGAAGGGTTTAGATTTGAGCCTCCATCTGAAAGGTCAGCTGGGTGAAAATGGTGGGCCACAGTGGACTTGCATCCAGCAAGAGGAGAACCGCAAACTGAGTACCTCTTCCCAAGTTGTGGCGATACCCATGCAGAGGAAACTTTGGGATAAGCAAAAACATAAAAAGTTGCTGACTGGCTATGAACTCATTGAAGGCCAACCGGCAAACCTGGAGCAAGAGGACTCTGCTTTTCCAGACCCAAAAACCAGGACAGCAAAGCTACCAAAATGTAACAAGACAGATACCAGAAACAGAGTCAGCGTGGATATCGTTAGTCTGGAAAACGAGAATACTCATCCTCTCCTAAGTCAGACTGAGTCAAAGGAAGCCTGCATAGTACTTGGGAACCCATTGCCTGAGCAGTGGAAAGGTGAAAACAGTTTAATTTCCAAATTTGCCAGTAAAACAGAATGTAGGAAATCACCGCGGCACGCGGCAAAAGTCTTGCCGCAGATTGCATGCGAGAAGTGCAACGAATCATTCCGTGTTATCAAGCAGTACCAGTCGCACATGGAGCTCAAGCATAACGTTAATCTGGCTGTCAAGTACAGCTGTAATACATGTGAGCAGCTCTTTTCCACTCTCCAGAACCTCCGGCAACACCGCCTCACCGTTCATAGCGATGAGCGGGGCTTCTCCTGCCTGTTTTGTGACAAGAGGTTTAAGCGCCAGAAGGACATAAACGACCATATCCGCAGGGTGCATGAGAAGAAGCGGGATCCCCAGGCCTGCCCGTACTGCGACAAGGTCATCAGTTCCAAATGCGGCCTGACAGTCCACATACGCACGCACACAGGAGAGAAGCCTTATAAATGCGAACGCTGCCCCGCCAGCTTTGCTCAGAGATCTGCTTACAATACTCATGTAAGGTACAGCAATATCCGTGTGTGTGTGTCCGTCTGCACGCATGAAAATGTGCGTTCTCTCTGGGCACCAGGATAAAAGTGTTCCTGAAGTCCTCTCTGCTTTAGTTCCAGAATTCCTTGGATCTGATCAGAAGTGTGTTGAAATCAGCACAGATTTTTTTCCATTGACCTCATCAAGCTCTCAGTCCGGATTACTGGATTGAGATCTCCCAGGCTGGGAATTTAGATGAACGTTTCCCATTGAATCAAAAGGAACTTGTGCAACCAGATCTCTTAGGGTGATTTTGGAAGCCTCAGATTTGGGTTTTTAAGCAGGAGCCTGAAAAGAATTGGCATCTCTTTAAAATGCACAAGAAAATGCCTGTTTTGTAAACGTAAGGGCAGTGTGGTGCTTTTTAGTATGATTTTCACCGGTCAAATATCCTGTGTGCTGTTTTGCTGGGTAGCGTGAGCTTCCAGACAGGCTTACTGAGCGTTGCCTGACTGAAAACAAGATGTTGAAATTGCACAGTAGTTTCCAAAACTGCAAAAGCTACTGTACATGTCAAATGTCTCTGTACTCTGCCTGCGTGGTACAGGAGATAGGTGGTTTTCTACTGGATCTCAGCTTCCCTTTTAAAAAATGTCAAAATTTGTTTGTATTCAGTCCCATAGCAGAAAAAATGTTCCAGATGTGTTGCAAGTGCAAGGACATAGCTTGTTCTACGCACCGAGTAGTGATAAGTAGAGTTAACCGCTGCAATTGATGGCTTACAAGGGGGTCTGTTTTGGTTTTCCATATAGGCATTTGATCTATATTTCCCTTGTTTTAAGTCTGTAATTTCTTATCCTGTCCGCCATGGCCTTGGAGGAAAATTTACAGTCCATCCTATGTTGCTAGTCAGATGATGGATATGTATACTTGAGAGGCTCCATCCCTGACAAACTGAGACATTTTAATTTTCTTTGATTATCTGTTTCAACTCTAAACAAAATTTCCCTGTTGTTCATCTCTCCAAACATGCTGTTAATTTCTTAAATGGTGTGAAGAACAATTAAAAGGAAATGACTCTTCCTCCAAGGCAAACATGTCTGAATTGAAACAATTAAACTTATTGAAGTTATGCTCTGTTGTTTTTTTATTTTAACAGAAAAATCCATGAGTCTGGGCAAGAGAGGAAACTTATGCCTGTCTATTGGATGGTAGTTCCGCCTGCACGTAGACCGAACGCAACAAGCTGTGACAAAGATCCTGACAGAGAGACGTGGGATGGGACATCAGAAGCTGAACGACAAAAGTGTGCAAGGCACGAAGAGGTCACAAGCCGTGAGGAAGAACCCGAGCGTTCATCTGTTACCGAAGCAGACTGTAGCGATGAGCAAGAGGAAGGAAAGCAGAAATATAAGGAAACTGAAGCAAGAAGTGAAAAAAGGAGCGAGGAAGGGAATGGAGATGAAGGTGAAATGAGTGTGAAGGGCGAGGAGGAGGTAGATTACGAAGCAGGGTATTCAGAAGTTGAAGACACTAGAGATAATGGGGAGGTCTGTACTGAGGAGGACGATGAGGATGATGAATACTCTAATGAGAAGGATGGTGAAGAACGTGAATCAGATGAAGAGTTTAAAATAAAGAAGGTAAATAGAAGTGGAGTGAATAAGAAATCTGCCTATCTAATAAGATGCGATAAGTGTAACGAGCAGTTTGTTTCCCGGAAAAAGTATGTGGATCATTGCAGAGATGTCCATCAATGCTTGCCTGGTAAAGTCTATCAGTGTGACATCTGCAGCAAGTCGTTTGCTAGTTACAACAGCTGGAAGGAGCATCGCGCATGTGTCCACACTGAAGAAAGGCAATTTGCCTGCACCCTTTGCAATGCTACTTTTAAAAGAAAGAGAGATGTGAGGACGCATTATATACGGAAGCACGAAGGCAGAGTCAAACGCCCTCTCTGCTCTGTCTGCGGGAAGATCCTCAGCTCCCGAACAGCACTAGTCTTTCATATGCGGACTCATACAGGAGAAAAACCTTACGAATGTGGCATTTGTCATTCAAAATTTGCTCAGCCGTCACAACTTAAGATCCATACCAGGTCAGCCTGCGGTACTGCTTCTCCCGTTACCACTCCCTGCATGCCCAGTGTATTTCGGCACTTCTTTTTCCTCTTCCGACTTCCCAATTCTGAGTCATTCTCCCTGCGTGTCCTTACAACAGGAACACTGGGATAGAATTAGTTCTGTAGTATCTGTGATTAATTCTTTTACGTAAAGACTTTGTCCCCATCTGGTCCTTGCATCAGTTCTGGTAGGGATTTTGAAACAGGTGCCCTATCCAAACTTGTAAGCAAAAGCCAGTCATTTGAGACAGCCTTCAAAATAAGATGATGGCCTTCACTGATGAAAAGTAGCATAGGCTATAAAGTTAGTCAAGGACCTCAGAGACCCAGATGCTGAGCCCTGCTCACTCTTTATCACTCCGAGCGAGTCATTTAGTGTGGGATTTCATTTCTTGTATGCAATACAAAAGCTGGATTTCTCATTTGGGCTCCCTCCGCAGTCATTGGAGCTAGACTGGATGAATTGCTCTCTGGTGGTGTCTATGTTAAACGTGTCCTCTCCCAGGAGAGAGTGAATCATCCCATGGAATTTCCCATCTTTCTCCAAACAGGGAGCATAGCAGATAGCTTATAAGAGGATGTTAACTGTTGGAGGGCTAAACTAGGTGAGAGAAATCCTGGTACTAGAGACTGTGGACCCACACAATGGGGACGGTAGCTTTCTTCTGTCTCCTAAGTGTTCTTACAGGGATTTAAAAAGCTGTGAAGTATGCTGATTCAGGACCAGCAAAACATCTGAAATGTCAAGATAATCTCTGTCAGCTGAAACACAGCAGAGCTGCGCTGCGTGTAAAATGCGGCATGACTGCAACAAAACAGTGACTCGTGGGGTTTATGTTGAGTAACTGACTGTCTCATATTTGCAGCATTTTGCCTGACAACTCAAAATTATGCATGTTTTTGCACATCATAGTATCTGGGTTGGAATAAGGGAAGTCAGCAGAGTGTTAAGACCAAACATTAGACTCAGACTTTCTCTGATTTGAGGTAGTTTAAAATCAGATGTCCAGTATGTGTTCAGAAACACTGCTTGCCTGACTTTCCTTAGTGCCTTTTGTCTTAAAAATGGGAATATCCTGCCAGGTAGAGTTTGCAGGCCAGAGGATGTGAGACAGAGGGATTGCAGAAGCCAAGAATGTGACCCACAATGTCCCAAGAGATCTGCTGCTGGCATCGTGCTGGGGACAATCTGGATGCACTTTCAGTCTCTAGCACAGCAGCAGATTGTAATCTTCCCTGCTTTCTCCCTTCCAGTGTTTATACTGTGAGCGATTACTTGTGAAAGAAAGGTGGATTTTGTAGGACTCGAGAATGAGGGAAAGGTAAACCTTAAATGGGAATTTTAGTGCTTTAGCGTAGCACCTATACTCGTAAACGCTCTGTTTCCTGAGAGACCAGAATATACATTTTTCTACCTCATTTAAAAAATTGAAGTATGCTGACTGTAGTGTATAGAATGTAATTTCAAATACAGTATTTTAAGAATGCACTACAAGAGCTAATTTATTAAAACTCCTTTGTGTTTTGCTTCATTTAGGTCCCATACAGGGGAAAAGCCGTACATTTGTGAGGACTGTGGGGCTTGCTTTGCTGATAAAGGCAAACTCACTGGCCACAAAAGGACCCACACAGGTAGGCATTAAATACTTCTAGAAGTTCCTGCCATCTGGTCTCTCCCCTCACCTCCCTTTATACTGCTAGAAATTGCTAGTTGGGATTGGAAGAAGGTGTGTGCTTTCTTTTTTTGTAACTCACAGAACAGACTTCAAGTACCAGGAAGGAACTACTAGGGATAGAAAGGCATTTGAAGACTAACTTTGAAGTACAAAATTCTGCTAAAAGAATTCAGAATGTCTTTTTCTCTTTACTCAGGAGAGCGTCTTTTTAAATGCGATGTGTGTGGAAAACATTTTGCCACCAACGAATACTTAAAATGCCATAAACGATGCCACATGGGTGCTAAGCCCTACAAGTGCGAGGTTTGTGGGAAGACGTTTGGACTGAGAGCTTCGCTAGCCCAGCACAGTAACGTCCACGCAGGTAGCGAGACAAACTCATGGGGGCTGGGAAAATAAACAGCACTGGAAGCTTAGATCTGAAGTGCTTTCCGGTTTGGATGGTGACATTTTATTCCAAAACCACTTTTATAAGTTCCTTGAATTGGGTGATAAGGAGAAGCAGGGCTCATACTGGCTCGTTAAACAGGGCACAATATCATCTTGTATTATATCAATGCTTGCAATTGTATTGATGATGCTTGCCCAGAAGACCAAGGCCTGGTTTGTGCTTCTGAAGGACTTCAGAGCAGAAAGCAGCTGTAGTTGCTACTGTTCCCCATGCAACATCAGAGAGCTGTTCTTAGGGTTTCTCTTGCAGCTAAGAAATATTTATCACATAAACCGGGCCCCAAGCACGTATCTCCTATGTACACTACTTTATCAATATTGATCTTTTCAAGGAAAATTCTTTATGCTTTTTGTCTGCTGAAATCAGGGCCAAAAGAACCTGATTCTAACTCTTATGCTTCCTGGTTTGTTTTTTTTGTTTTTTTTTTTAGAGACCCGTCCATATTTCTGCGAGCAGTGCGGGAAAACCTTCACCCAACAGGGCGCTCTACGCCGCCACCAGCGCATCCACACTGGGGAAAAGCCGTACAAGTGCAGAGCCTGCGAGAGAACCTTCACGGACATGTCCACCTTACGCAGACACGTGTCGGTACGGTGCCCCTCGGGTGTCTGTGGCAGGCAAACTGTGGTGGTGACATTAAACTACTGAGAAAAGTTTCTTGCCTTAATGAGGGTTCATATTCATGATGAGTAGTAAGGTTGAGGGATTGATCTGCCATCTATACACAGCTTTTAAAAATACATTTCTAAAGTGTGTAGAATTTTCCTCCAACAGCCCAGCAGCTCCCACTACTGGCTGTCAAACCAGTCATCTCCCAAGCACTTGGTGTTGTCTTCAAAAGGAAAATCTAATCTTATAAAAACGTATGAGGAAGGACTGGTTATTTAAAATGCTTATTACTGGTTGAATCCTTTTCTTGAAAAAGGAATGGTGCCATGTTTTATATTTCTACAGTCTCTGCGGTCTTTTAAGCCTCTTACACAGAGGCCATAACATGATGGTTTATAACATCTGTGGTGCAGGTGAATATGATTTTTACATGTTTCCAGCATTGCGATATGCTGAAAAATGGATTGCTGAGCTTAGCTGTTTTCACAGACCTTCAGGTCCTTGAAGTGACTGCTAAGACAGTACATAAGTTTTTTTGCCAATTAGGAGGTTTTAAGTTAATGTTTGCCTATATGCTACAATTCTAGTTTCTTCTGGAAGCGTTCCATGACAGGCAGCAGAGCCAGAAAATCAGTGCAGAGTTGGCAAAACAGACTTGTTCTTGCGTTTCTTGTTCTTTCATGTTTCTTGAGTTCAGCTTTTGCATTTGCTCACAGTGTCACAGAGTTAACCCCGATACTATTTGATTTTGCACTGGATTAAATCTTCAGTTATTAAAGTTGTTAGAAAAAAATTTGGACATAATTGTTTCCCCCCTCTCCTCTCTTTTTTTTTTTTTTTTTTTCCCCCCTAGATTCATGACCGGAATGCTCACTGGAGAAGTTTCTTAATAGATCTTACAACGAAAAAAGACCATAATTGGTCCAAAATAGAGACATTCTCCGAAGCCTGTACAGGTGAAGACTCTGCGCCGGAAATTTGGTCAGTTGACCAAGGTAAACTTTATAAACCAGAAAGCATTGTCCTTAAAAAAGTAGAACATGTGCCATCTAGTGTAAGTGACGCAGAAGACACCGATCGCTCCCTTTTATACTTATAGCGTCAGTTATCGCCAGAAAATTGTGCAGTCTCTCCGGGTCATAATAAGCCAAATTATCTCAAATGTTCATTGCAGCTGCCTTGTTAAGCTCTGCAGTGTGGTGTCTTCTTGATGCGGGTGAGCTGGAGTGACCGACGTTGCAGTCAGAGAAAGGGGTCATAATTCTTCTTAACAGTATTTATGCCAGTTAGATTTTAGATCTGTACAGAGTTTTATTTTTTACAAAGTCTTGAATGCTACATCATAGAGTATCTCGTTCTGAACGCATATACAGGTTTGTGCGTGTACCGACACAGGTATGGTCCTGTCGCTGTAAATTGCTGTTTGTTTTTTTTCTAATAAAGTTGCGCTCATAACGTAAGTGACCACCCATCCCGTAACTAATTTATTTGCGTGGATTTCACTGCAGAAAACGTGTTGATTTGGTAAGAATGAAACGAGGGCTGGTTTTCTACGTGGTGTTGCTGACGGCGGG